TAATCCCAGAGTCCAGGGGGTCGCTAATCCCAGAGTCTGGGGGGGCCGCTAATCCCAGAGTCTGGGGGGGTCGCTAATCCCAGCGCCCGGGGGTCAATAAGCCCAGCGTCCGGGGGGTCCCTAAGCCCAGCATCCGGGGGGTCACTAAGCCCAGCATCCGGGGGGTCAGTAAGCCCAACGTCCAGGGGGTCACTCAGCCCAGAGTGCAGCGTTTTTATCGCACCGCACCCAAATGCACTGCAGTCACAATGTGCCTTGCAATCCTGTGCAGACGATCGCATAGCGGCCGGAGGGCATGGCTACAGTGCCATTCACTTCAATGGCCCATCACACCCCCTCCAGCCTGGCAAAAAAGTGAGTCTGTCGCAATGCGGGCAGTGCGTTCCGGCCTGAATCGGACCGGAAACGCACTGCTTATGGTGTGAACTAACTCTAAGCCCTGCGTCCAGTAGACATGTGCGATTCAATTCGGAAAAATTAGTTTTCCGGACTAAATTCGTTAGCGGTAGTCTGTACGCATTTTCGTTTGTGGACGAATTCTCATTGCAGCAAAGTGACAATTAAAAAATAAAATGAAATGAAACGAACGTTACGAACATGAAACGGAAGTGACACAGACTACCGCTATAATATTTCCTCCGAATCCCGAAAAACTAAATAAGTTCAAATAACGCAAAATCTGAATCAAACCAAAATGAAACTAAACTAATTTTTTGCCGATGCACATGTCTAGTGTCCAGCGCGTCACTTATCTGTGAGTCCAGCGGGTAATGTGATTGTTTGGGGACATTAGAGTGTCAGCTCCTCTGTACAGAGACTGATGTGACTGTGGGGGGACGGGACATTAGAGTGTCAGCTCCTCTGTACAGAGACTGATGTGACTGTGGGGGGACGGGACATTAGAGTGTCAGCTCCTCTGTACAGAGACTGATGTGACTGTGGGGGGACGGGACATTAGAGTGTCAGCTCCTCTGTACAGAGACTGATGTGACTGTGGGGGGACGGGACATTAGAGTGTCAGCTCCTCTGTACAGAGACTGATGTGACTGTGGGGGGACGGGACATTAGAGTGTCAGCTCCTCTGTACAGAGACTGATGTGACTGTGGGGGGACGGGACATTAGAGTGTCAGCTCCTCTGTACAGAGACTGATGTGACTGTGGGGGGACGGGACATTAGAGTGTCAGCTCCTCTGTACAGAGACTGATGTGACTGTGGGGGGACGGGACATTAGAGTGTCAGCTCCTCTGTACAGAGACTGATGTGACTGTGGGGGGACGGGACATTAGAGTGTCAGCTCCTCTGTACAGAGACTGATGTGACTGCGGGGGGGGGGGGCATTAGAGTGTAAGCTCCTATGTACAGAGACCGATGTGACTGGGGATGCAACAACTAATCGACTAGGTCGATTAAAATCGATGATGGAAAATGTTGTCAACGTTTTCCATCATCGATTAATCGGCTTTCGATTATTTGCCCCTGTTCGTGGCTCCATACGTGCCACACCTCCTCTCCGCCTCTCCCATCCCTGAGCTCTCTCCCGCCGCTGCCTGATAAGACGCTGCCCGCCAAGATGATCACGCCGTTGCAGGGAGACTGCAGTGTGGGGGAACAGCAGCTGCCGACAGTCCCAAGATCTCGGAAGAAAGTAAAGTTGCTTGAAGAGTGTGCACCCCCCCTCCCCCAACATGCTGTATATACCATCAGCTATAGAGGACCACAAATCCCAGCAATACATTGTACACGGTATGTATACTGTATTGCTGGGAATTGCCGATGCCATTCTGCATTGATTGCTGTATAATTTTACATTTCACTGTATTGCACAGTTTTGTTTTTTGCTTCCACCGCTCCAAGCTTGACTGATGTAACTGGCTCAGTGTTCTCTGTACAGCACTGCGGTATACTGTATGTATGCCAGAGCTATATATATATATATATATATACGGTGTATATATAGTATATATATATTTATGTATGTATTGGGGGGTGTAACCGGGTGGTGGGCGACGACCGGGGGGGGCCAGCCCTAAGCCGTGTAAGGGGCCCCAGAATTTCTGATGGCTGCCCTGCGTATGACATGGCTACCTTCTTCCAGCAATTTGTGTTCTGCTTCTCCAGTAATTGCATGAGTGCAGTGCTCTATAAAAATAATCATTTATGGCTCATAACACTAATTACATGTACTGTATGTAGAGCAGGTTCTTTCCTTGTTCTCAGTTTTGGTCTGCAGACATGCTGCTTACTACACTATATAGTTTAGACTACTGACAGGCTAAATATAAACAAATCAATGTGTGCATGATATTTGCATTGGTCCATGCCTGTTATGACAACTCTCAGGAGTCCCTGGAATTACTAAAGGAGCTAATAGAATCAATTCAATTAAAATAATGCATATATTATAACATTAAATTGTCTCTTTATAAATGTTTTCACACAACATTCAAACAGCTGTCATTGAGGATTCATAAATGTTTCCAGTTGAATACATTTAGGAAACGTTGTGCATCTTGGGTTAAAGTTGTATGAATCTTTTGTGAAAACAAGACCCCAGTGTACATAATAAGTTACTTGATTTAAAAAAATAAATAAATAATGTTTTCAATTTGTTAATTATGTTATTGGAAGGATTTTCTGTGTTTACTACAAGCATGTAGTCTTATTGACTTTTTTGGTAGTTTGTATGTATGAATTAGTTTGTAAAGATTATCACACGAGCTTTCATTCAGTAAAATGCTCATACCTTCTTTTTGGTGTTAACTGTGAGATTTGTATGAGGTGTCTATTGAGGAGAGCAGAAAGAGGTGTCATTCTAGGTGGTGATAAAATTACTGTTAATGAAAAAAATTACAATTCATGAAGTGCTTTTCAGTAAAGGTATTCAGTGATTACATATGTATTTCATCTGAAAAAATAATTCCACCTTATATTTTGTAAACTAAATGTTTTGTTAAAGAAAAATATTTAGTTAAAAAACAATGATATAATTAAAAAAACGTAGGCAGCTTAGTGAGCTCACCCTACTGTGCTTCACCCTTTAAAATAAGCACTTACACAGTGTCCAAGCAGCGATCTCTTTTTAAAGTTTGCTAAAACTTTCTGTAATATTTTTGAAAAGTAGAATGTCATAACATTCAGGGCAGAGTATAACAGATAAGATGGTTTTATGTGTGCAGAACATATTGGGGTTGATTTACTAAAGGCAAATAGGTTGTTCACTTTGCAAAAGAATTTTCACTTTTCAAGGGAATTTTTGCTTAGTAAATGTGGATAAAGAATGCCCAATCACATGCAGGGGGGAAAAAAAATATTACCTTGCACATGATTAGATAAAGGATGTCAGCGGTGCTTCACCTGATTTAGGGAAAATTTTTATTTTTTTCTTCACAGGTAAAACAAATACACTTTTAACAATTGCATAGGTTAAAAAGAATTCTTTCTCTGTCATCAGGTCAAATTTCTTTCATGCAGAATCGATCTGGTTTAATTTCATGCATATTAGATTTCTCAACGTAGCATAAGAGTCGATAAGCTAATTTTCCTCCAGCATCAATAAGCAATACCTTAAAGCATTTATTCTTCTAATAGTCTACTATGTCACCGTTGCTTGAAGACCACATTAGACCTCATTAGGCAATTCTGCAATCCATTAAGGATGTCAATGTCACTATTGCACTTTGATCTTGTACGAAAGTGAATTTCATGAGCAGAACTGCGCAGTGAGTTGCAGGACACGTCAGTGGCTCAGGGGTTAAAATGTCATATTTTCTGTAACGTGATATTGGCCAGCAGGAGGAGTTAGTGAGAAAGAATAAAGTTGCAGAAAAAAGTCAGGAACCTTAAACACACACATACACACTTACTATACACACACACACACACACACACACACACACACACACACACACACACACACACACACTCCCCCCCACCTCCAGTCCTTCCTTCAAGAGAAACTCTTTTTCTCCTTCCAGCAAGGTTCTGGGTGGCTGTGAGAAGGAGGAAGATTAAACATTAGACTACTGCTAAAAATAATTAATCCTACAGCAAGGGAAGCTGACAATCCTAAAGAGGAATATTCGTAATGTCTTTCGCATGCTAATAAAACAAAATTACGCAGAGGAAGAAATTAAGAGGGATTTATCATGAGCTTATTACAGGATCTTTTGTATTGATGACTGAACTTAATATTTGGGGCATTTCCTGCAGAGCTTCAAATTCATGGGAAGGATAGATCAGCTTAAGAGGGAGAAGTGAGTGTTGCTTAATGTGTTAGACACATGACATGCCTCCGGAGACACGTATGCTAATCAGCTGCACTTATATAATGAAGCTGCGATAACTTCTGACAGCTCTTGGATGGAAACAGCAAACCGGAGAGAAAATATTCAACAGCCAAACTTACTGGATTTACTAGGAGTTACGAGAAGACTAAACAAGGATTTAACATACACTGTAAAACAGAATTGCTGAGCGGATTTTAAGAAAGAAAAAAATCCTTGAGATTATTCGACTTTTATAGAGTCTTGCTTCAAAGGCAACATTAGATATGATGGGCAGTAAGTGGCTGTCATGATGCGAGGTGTCACCTTCGAGATATTATAACCTCTGTAGAGGTGTCCAAGCAACCTTTGCAATTGCTCACTTGACTGTCCCAATGGAAGATACAGACATATTCAAAGTAAACCCATCTTTATGGCTTTGTGCTTCCAATATTGGATCTGATATAAGTACAGGAGACCCTGATATTCATTAGCAGTCGGGAGGGTCCGGGCTAAAGGTAAGGCAAAGAAGAGAGGGAAAAAAAGCGCAATTTTCCACTTTAACCTTGTACTTTCACACTGTGATTATCCTCACAGCTCTGCAAACAATAAGCCCTGCTTAAGAATGTGTGTATGTTTAATACAAACCATGTCCTAGCTATATATATCAGGTTTCTTTGTGCACGTAATAATTTACAACATGAAAGGGCTGAAAAACATCTTTGCATTCTCCAAATAGTCAACGCAAATGCTGCTGTCTTAAGAGGATTTCAGTTAAAGCATTTTATACATCAGCCTGCAGGGTTGGTCTGTTTGTACTCCAAATGGCATTGTAGTTTAGGCTGATTATGCATAGTGTACTATTAATTATACTATTAATTATTGTAAATCTCATCACCTTGTAATCAGTCTTATATTCTCTACAGAGAAAACATTCTGATGTTGATACCACTTGTCATTAGGCAATATGTTAAACAGTTGTATTGCACTGTCTTCTCCTGTCTTGCGGCATCACTTTAACACTTGTGTTCTAAGTAAAATCCCATTTTCTTAGTACCTATATATCCCTTATCTACAGTGACTCTGGTGATAATCTTCACTCTATATTATAAATTTACTTAAGCACAAATATTAGGGAAAAAGCTAATCCTACCTACAGTTAGTAAAAGGACAGTAAAAGATATAGATAAAATGTACATTGATTATTTAAGTAGCATTTAGAATAATTACTGTTTTCAGTCGATTACATTTTCAATATTTTTTCAAAATAAACAAATGAATACTTTGAAATGTTATAATTGCCAACATTTTAAATATTATTTTTAAGGACACTCAACAGCTTTCTATGTATGTGGGCTTGCCACATGCAATAGTAAGAGGACCACATCACTGGTTGTAATATGTTTATTAAACTATAAATATTTTCTTCAAGTACGCTTTTTAAATGAAATCTTTATGGATTTTAAAAATTCATTTTGGATGGTCTGTGGAAACAGTTGGTCTGTAAAATATGAAATCAAATTTTCAAAGATACTTCTGCAAAACCCGGGAGTATCCTGGATATTGCAAAGAGGTGGTGACAATGTAGCTTTTAGATATTAGTCGCTTGTGTCACAAATGGCAGAGCTGACATAATTATTTGTGATTAAATCAGGCTAAATTGTTTAATTAATTTAGGCAAACATATTTCACATATCAAATAGTAAAAGCTTTTAGGGAAAGTCTGAAAATGTACGTTTTTAAAACAAGCTGAAGATAGAAGGTATGCTGTTGCACAATTTACAATATCTAGGAAATTTTAGGTGTCAAAGAAACTCTAATCAGCATGCCACCGCAAGACACAGTCAGAGCATCAATGAACAAGCATCAAATACATCTATCACCTGAGGCATAAGTGGTTGGTGCAGTTCTCCCTTTGTGGCATGCTCTGTGGGTATGGCAGAGTTAAAAATAGCTGTGGTATGGTAGGTAGCGGATGCCGATTCATCTCTCTACGCATTCTGCATGGACTTTACCTTCAAACATGTTATCCCATAAGCATGTTACCAAAATGGTAAGGTGCAGCATGGAATATAGTGTGGACTAGGAATAAGCTTTGGTTGAACCTGTCATCTTAAATTAATATGTCATCTTAAATTCTAAACCAACCTAACCCGGTGCACCTGCAGTATGTAGATTCTGATTTTTATGAAAGTCAAAGCTGTGGCACACCCCAATGCAACCACAGTGCATTGGTGCTTATTGACAAACAGCCACAGGTGGTACACAATAATGGACTACATGTGGAAAGGCTGGCTGTTGATATGTGGACCCTGCAGCCAAGAGCAAAACTGCCTATCTTTGTTAAGTGTTGGGTCCTGAAATGTTCCCCTGAATTGCGTGCATACCTGGTGAAATTAATTCTCAAGTGGAATATCTCTCAATTATAGTGGCTTTCCATCTGAGATACATACCCCTGTGTCCCCTATATGACATATAATTTTTTTTATATATATTATAAATAACATAATATTGCTAGCACCCTTCAAATAATTTGCTTAAAATTGTACATTGATGAAACTTGTATGGTGTGCACTATTAGAACAAAAAAAACGTGTATGTACATGTGGCTACCACATTGAATTACTTGAATAGTATTCTACAAATGGAGCGGTTAATAGCTTGACCAAGTATAGTAACTTTTAAAAGTGAACACATTATTTGTACCACAGTGCTCCCATGGCTGGAAGTGGTATTATTAGGACCTGAAGAGTATGATAACGACACCAAGAAATATAGGGAGACTTTACAGAAATGAGGGATTGGATAGGGTTAATGTGCTTTGGCTTATCTACAGCACTCCTGATTATATCCAAAAACCTAATGCAAAACTAGTCTTGGGCTTGTGTTTATAAACCTGTTATAGGGTAGAGATGTGTTCTACAGTTCCGCCTTTTGAGTTGTAAAAGTCTATCCACCTAGTCACAATACAGTCAAGGAATGCCAGAATAGCGTGAGCCTGTCAAAGTGCATCCAGATAATTTGGATACAGGGGATGGAAAGGCAGCATGCTTTGCATCTGTCTGATAATCTGTAGCAAGAGGACACATTCCATGGAACGCCAGAAGGCTCTGAGCGTGTCCTGATAATCTGAGTAAAATTTTCAAACAAATGTACAATAGTCACAAAGGAAAACCTTGATAAATTCTGTGCTTGACCGGTCAATAGTCATTATGCCAAGTAGAAAAGCAACATTTTTAAGGAAATGTTTTAAGCAAATTAAAACATTTAAAGAAGAACTGCAGGGAAAAATATGTTTTTCTTAAATGTGCTGTGTTACAGCTAGTTAAGTCCAATGAGGTGTATGCTACCTCCAGGAACAATGCCATTTGCTATACTTCTGGCACTTTGACAGGTAGAGCTGCGGCTCTCCTGCATAGAAGCCTTTCTGTTGTTTATCCACCCTTCACTCACCTTGTCCATTTACAGAACACTTTGGGTGGAATTTATCAAAACTGGAGCAGTTGTCCGTGGCAACCAATCAGCTTCTCTTCAGTTTGTTTAGTTAAGCTTTGAAAATGAAATAGAGAAGCTGATTGGTTGCAATGCACAGCTGCTCCAGATTTTGTGTGCTCCAGTTTTGATAAATTTCCCTGCTTGTATTATGTAAACCAACAACACAATTGTTGTATACAGTGTTTTTATGGGGACTCCTCTAATGCTGCTCCTGAGGAAGTCCATAGTGACGAAACACGTTGGGTGAAGCCAGTGATGTCATCAAGCTTGGGCAGAGCAGAACAGAAAAATGTGAGGACTGTGCATGTTTATGCTGGAGTTGGATGAGACAGTTTACACTGAGAAGTATCTTCTCTCTATATGATTTATGATTCTGGAGCACTGATGGTATATGGAATAAACAAGTTCAAGAACAAGGATGTTTTGTCTCCCAAGGAAGTTTTGTGTGGGAAAGCACAAATTGACCTTTTAATTAAATAAAGGTCAAAAGGATCTTGTGAGTCTACTCTAAGGGTGAGCACAGGGGTGAGTAATAGTCACAGCAAAGTGTGATCATTTGTTATCATGTGAGGAGTACACTGGATACCTGTGGTTGCTATGGGTTACAACAAGAATCCCTTTATTTACATATTGGATATGACGTTTTTAGCCTGTGTGTGAGTGCACAATTGCACGTAAAAAAAAAAGACACACAAAGTTTAATTTGTTGAAAATAATTGTTTTTATTTTGGTGATAAGTTTAAAGCTTTTAAATCTCCAGTAACAAAAATCCACAGCAGTTAACCCTTACAATTGGAGCGGAGCAATAATCCCACTGCAAGGGCTAACTGATCATTCATGTATTAGGGACCTGTGTAAAGGACTTATACTTACCTGATCCCCACTCCTGCAGACTCCAAGGCAGTACACAGTACAGTAGATCATGTAAGCTGGTTTATGTTGGTTTTGCACTGGGCACTGCTAATATTTAAACATTTAACTTCAAGATATAGCACAGCAGCTTTGGAAATAGAGGTAGTATGCATAGCGCAGAGTTATGAAACCTCTTTGGATTAATGGTAAATCCCATCTTGTGTCCTCCCCCTTCTCTCCCACTCATTCATATTTTTTAAAAAATAAGAAAACCCTCAAACTTACTATGCTTACCTGAACCTGTGCCAATATGTGTCCCTCAGTGAAATAAGTAAGCTGCAGGAAACCTACAGCCAACACTGGTGACTATGTATTTGCCTTCTGCTTGCCTTCTTTAGGCAACTTCAGCAAGAACAGGGCCTCTTTATCAGAACCCTGAGTTGCAAATTCCATGACGTTTATGTAAAACTGTAAGAGATTTAAATAATCATGCCCAAACCCATACATTTTGGCCAAAGGCTGCATGATCTTGCGTCACATTTAGCCTAATCCATTAGTTAGAAAGAGAATCTGTAACAAGGCAATCTGTCTATATATACCTTTGTCCTACTCTCTACTCAACAGCAATCCCCAACAATTCCTATGCAAGTTGATTCTTGCTCAGCACTATGTATGTTCCCCAAGGGACAAAGCTTGAACCTGGTGATTGGCACCAAGCACTGCACTGTAAAAACAGGGGGTGTGGGGGGTGGCACATGTATCCCCATACTGAGAAGTAGCATTTTTTGCTTACCTCCAGGGGCAGATTATGGTGGTGATGAAGTAAGGGGAAACAATTCCTTAAGGTACTTTGTATCAAGCAAATTGTTTACTTTGCCTAGTCCAGGCAAAATATGGTTTCACGTTAAATGATTCTGCTACTCTGAAGCATACTCTGGGACAATCAGTGGTGCTGAGCACTACTAAAGACGAACTATGCCCATATCTTTGAAATGACAACCAATACACCTTTAGAAAGGTTTAGTAATGACAATCTACAAACACATACTTCTAGATGATTGCCGGCTTTTTATTCTTTGCATACTTTATTTTTCCCTTCTTCCCCATTCTTATCACAGTGGCCATTTTTACTAAAGGCAGATTAATGTATCTCTCTTTACTTCCTGGAACT